CAGGATCCTGGAGCTCAGGACCTCCTATAAGAGTTTGCAGCTCCTAGACATCAGACATTGAGTGCAGGAAGTGAAGGTTTCTTGAGCAAGATTTATATGATTATCTACAAATCTAGTTTCATTTTTCTGACGAGTGTGACATCGTAAGGCAGGACATTGAAGACATCCCATGACAAGACTCTGACAGCCATAGGCATGACATCCAGAAGTAGAGGCATGATAGGATTTTTTGTTTCACTACAGATGGGAGTGCCGTGGTTGCCTACCCCTGTTCTAAATAGTATGTTTTACCCATCTTGTTCCCTTCAGCAGTTGCCATAGAGAATAGTAGCTCCATAGAGCGTTGCATCTTTGCAAGTATTGTGGGATCCTCTGTAGACAGAGTTGTGGCCAAGTCCACCGCAACGTCATTATATTTTTGGGGGGGCAAAAAATTGCTTCCACCTGTAATCACGAATGCAGGTGTGTGATTGGTTGCTGCAGAAAATGCATGGTAGAAAAAACAACATAACAGTGAAATGCCTATTGATTGCAGAGGCGGAAATGAGAAGGAAATCACAAGTAAACGAAGACTTGCATTTGTACCTTCCAATCAGTTGCGTTGTGATGCGTTGTTCAACCGATGCTAACGGAAGGGCACCAAAAAATGAATGGTTGTGAATGGCGCTACTTCACACCGGATCCATTGCGTTATGTTGCGCTGAAAAAAAGTAATGTATGTTCTACTTTTTTTTTTCAGCGCAATGCAGCGGAGTGGTGTGAACTACTAGCCCCATTGACAGCCATTCATTTTTCAGTGAAAAACGTATCACACCAGATCTGGTGTGAATGGGCTCTTAATCTGAATTGCGTTATGAGCCTATTCAGGAAACCATCAAACCAGAAGGATTTGTTATAAAAGCAACATTAAAAGGGTTCTCCACAGTTGAAGAAAAGAAAATGGGCAGAAGGTGTTCACATATATCGTGAAATCTAAATGTATTTCTCTACCATAGTTAATGAATACATCTGTCCCCATTGTCTTAGTGCTGGGCTATCCCACCCATTGCTATTGGTAGTGTTTGTGAATTATGTGATGCTGTGGCCTTTCACACTGGCAGTCTGATCAGGATCTTACTCTATGGGTGGCCGGATCTAAACAGATGTGTGTCCATTTAGATCCGATTACACCCGACTTATCTAGGTCCGTTTTGGTGGACATGATCAGGGGTAATCAGATGTAGACAGACACATGTCCGTTTACGTCCAACTCCCCATAGACCTAACATGGGTCTGTACTGAGAGGAAAAAAATGAACCGCCACAGATGTCACGAGTGAGTGCGTGCTCTGATCATTAGGGGGTCTGTGCACGGATTGCTTCTTATCGGAACATATGGCGCCACTATAAGTGGGTGCACTTACACCTGATATGATCTGGGGTACACCTCTGCAATCTATTGTTGTTGATCAACAAATGGAACAGAATCCCATATAAATAAGAACACCAGCCAAAACTGAGCGCTCAAGCTACCGTAGTGATGGTATAATCAAAGGCAGATGTAAGTGTAGTCACCCTTTGTCATCCTGTACTAGCCTACCAAATAATTGAAGGACCAGCATGCCAGCAGCACAGGGGAGGGTATAGAATCCAGTTCTTTCTCTTCTCTATCCTGATTATTTGTTCAGTAAATGTCACAGCAGATGGTTTTTGCTCTGGCTGGAGCTCTAGGCCTCTTCCCGTCACAGTATGAAAGCTTATAACTTGTATTTATTACCACCTTGTTCCAATATGTGTGCAGGCTCTTGAATTGTCATATGCCAGTGTGGGTGACAGCATGGCGGAGAGTTCTCTACCTATAACTGAAAAATGACTTTTTAGCTGGGATAACCCTTTCCATTTTCTAGCAGGGTTTGTGGTTTAGAATTCCACCTTTGTACACCAGGGAACAAGGATGATGATAAATACAATGTATATGTCACTTTATTATTTCACAATCCTACCGTCACACTTGTCCTGATACCCCACAGCTGACAGGCTCCCATGTAATAAGATCATTACTGCAATTAAATATAGAAGAATTTGTTGGGAATTCAGCAGAAAGTTTTCTAAAAAAGGGGTTACAGGTGAAGAAAAAACATGAGACAAAATACTGGCAAAAGGTGGAAATCTACAAATCAACTGTAAAATATACAATAAATAATTCTCATTTCTGAATTTGTCTCATTATAATTACACTTAATGTGCACAATATGGCAACTAGATTATCTTACAGGAACACTTTTCATTCATTTCTAGATTGCTTACAAAAGTTCCTTTGTTGTTAATGTAACAATTTATAGATTCGACTGGCAGCTTATAAGGACAAGCTCACTTACTGCTGTGTTTGACTTACCTTCCTCTCTGTTCCAGTGATCTTCAATGTGTGACCTTGGCGGGAGCCACACAGCGTTTCTTCCAATAGGGTCCTCTTCGAGCGCACACACGTGCTGTGGCCCCATTCATTCCTATAGGTGATCTATATTCCTCAGGACAGCTGAAATACGGCTCACCTAAGGCTGGGTTCATACCTAGGCGTATCGAATATGCGCGTTTTTACAGCGATTCGCGGTAAAAAAATGCGCGTTTCCGAGGGCTACCTGGCTGTATCCCAATGGATACGCGCAGCAAATACGCCACAAAGAAGTTCCTGTACTTCTTTGGGTGTAGGGCGTTTTGCAGCGCGTTCCTACACGCTGTAAAACGCCCAGGTGGGAACCATGCCCATAGGCAATCATTGGTTTTCACATGTTGAGCGTTTTACAGAGCGTAGGAACGCGCTGTAAAACGCCCAGGTGTGAACCAGGCCTAAAGGAATCGTGAAGGCAGCAGCATACGAGCACACTGAGGAGAGGACCTTTTCATTAGACAGGTTGTGTGGTGCAAGGCAAAGAGGCACAGTAAAGATTGCTGCAGCTGGGAGGTAAGTATTAAACACATCGCTCTGCACTCTACTTTTACCATCAGAAAGAGAGCAAACAAAAGTGCTTTCTTTAGATAGCGGGGACTTGTAGTTGCAATCAGCTGGACAGCTCACATTGCACAGCAATGCTATTGTATTGTTGTGCATTCTCCTTCTCTGGTGAAAAGATGGCCAGGACTTTCCACCATCCTCCTCCTTATAAAGTAACAGGCTACACTATGGTACAGGACTCCCCTTAAAGAGAACCGATCACAATGGGATTTCATCAGGAATCGCAATATTTGGTCCTGTAGTCACCTTCATCCTTTATTCTGTGATCTTCACTGTGTGGCACCTGGCAGGGTCTTCAGCCTATGCCTTGGACCCATTAGTTCCCATACTTATGGTGGTTTCCCATGGTCCTGTGGAGTATGGCTCTCCCCATAGAAATGAATGGGGCTGCAGCACGTATGTGCAGACTAAAGAGCAGCCAGGGAAAACTTTTCAGAAGCAAGGCTGTGCAGCTTCCAAAGGGGCCACATACTGAAGTGAAGATCACTGAATCGATAGGTAATGGTGGGTATTGGACTAGGTGGGGGAGGGCTGCATCCATTAATAGACAACTTGTAGCAAAGGTAAAGCTGCCCCACACTAAACTCCACCCAAAACCAGTTTTACATTGGGTAGAGTTGGTCTTTACAATAACAGTCTAGGCAAAAAAACTTGGTTAGCAACCTGATTACAGGGCCAAAGCAGATAACTAGTGTTTTTTTATTTCTCAATAGAAGCCATATCATCACTACATCTGCGCTCTCTAGCTGTGCCCAATCAAAGATGGCTGCCCTGGTTGCCATAGCAATAAATAGCAGTGGGGTTGCAGCAGAAACCGCAGCCCTGACAGCATGCGATGGTGTTGACACTCCTTTGTCCGTTGTATATGTTTTGCGCGTTGATAAAGATTTTGTTCTGATGCTGGGCAGTGAGGTGCAGCAGTGGTTAACTTGCAGGCTCTTGGCAGTCGCTAGGCCTCATTCACTGAACGGAGGGAAATCTAGGTCAGCACATCCCCCACTGAGTCTTTCCTGTGTTATTGCTTCAATGTAGTACCTGTAAACCTGTTCCCTGACAGCTAGGCCTTACATGGCAAGACAAATCCCTTCATATCAAAGGCAAGTCCATCTGAGAGCGAGATATCAGCTTTGGGCAGATGCTTGCTATGTTGGGTTTGGGTTATGGTCACATCCTAGCTTCCTAACTTGCTCAGGGACCCCAGTGGTGTAAGCTCTGCACCTGAGTGCCCCGCTTTCTAAATTTCTAGCAAACTTTACAATGGGAGGCTCTCTTTCTCACTGTTGTCACCTCTGTTTATCTAACACTATGTGGAATGCAACTAGTTCCTCGCTTGGTTTCTTAATACCTTGGGCAGAAGGAGAGATCAAGAACCTCGGAGTGGTGATCCCAGCGCTGCTATTCCCAGACATACGAGAGATCAAGAACCTCGGAGTGGTGATCCCAGCGCTGCTATTCCCAGACATACGAGAGATCAAGAACCTCGGAGTGGTGATCCCAGCGCTGCTATTCCCAGACATACGAGAGATCAAGAACCTTGGAGGGGTGATCCCGGCGCTGCTATTCCCAGACATACGAGAAGCCGTTGGGTGATTTGGCCAACTAGTAGCCATTTTAAACTTTAATCAGCCTTTAATTGTAGGAACCCACAGCATCCAGGCAGCACTGTACTTCTGAAGACGATTGGCCATTAACTGTGTTTGCTGCTGCTGTTTTACACCACACTGTCTGGCACTTTAGGGGCACTATGTGCTTTGCCAACAGTTCCTAAAAATCCCAAAGTAATGTAGAAAAAGAAAACTATTGTACAAAATTATTGCCATTTAGTGAATAAGGCCCTTTGTTACTTGGTCCCATGGTATTAGCCTGCTATAACCTACGGTAACAGCATCATGTGAGCACCATCCCCCACCCTTGAGCACCCTCTCTATGAACTTCCCAGCAAGAACTTCTCTTGTTCTCATAAACATCCTCCTTCTGAAAACAGGGGCTCAAAGTTTTTTGTTTTCTTTTAAAATAGCCTAAAAAAGTCTTATAAAAAAAAAAAAAAATCAGATGGTCCATTTTATATATTTAACTAATTGGCTGAAGACACTTGGATGTCAAACACGTAAGACGACTCTCCCAAAGGGCCGCTAGGCCTCAGCTATGCAAAATACACTGACTTCTAATTTTAATAAACGTGTCCTCTGGTACGACGTGGAGATGAATCATCAGGAAGTTGTTTCCTCGGTAACAGGTGCTGTGCTATCTGGACATAAGAGCTGACACTTAGCTCGGCCTCCTTTGATTATCGTGATTTTCTGCATCTTCCTGGTTGGAGGGGAGATCCACCCTTTGTTCATCCATCCTCTTGGCTTGGACTCTCTGGATTAAGCTGAAGAAGTCTTCATCGGGCATGGTGGGGCCTCGCGGCATGGAGTCTGGTGGTGCACATCTTTGGTCGTCTATTCGGGAAGACTGAAAGGAGAAAGGTGAGAATGTAAAAAAACTGGACATGGGTTGTGTGCAGGATACAAGTATTTGGGGCTTTTTATTAAAAGGAAGATCAGCTATATAAATTGGTGTTTATTTTTCAGCACTTTGCTACAAAATTTTTCTCAATTTAGAAAAATCCAAAATGCAAGATTGGGGGGTGTGAAGTGGCGGGGACTGGGAATCCGTAAATCAACTGTTGTGGGGGATATCCGGGCCCATCAAACAGAAAGTTGTAATTTTTGCGTGTGTGCTGATGATGCAACTGAGATTCAGGCCCGGCGCTACCACAAGGCAAGTCAAGCGGCCGCCTGAGGGCGAGAAAATCTGTGGTCAGTCAGTGGCCGCCTAACCATCACATTAGGTGGTGGATCCCGCGGCCATCTAATTTAGTCAACAGAACGGCCGGGTGGAGGAAGAGGAAGGGCAGAGGCGGGGCTGTACCGGGCTGAGTGAGATGCGACCGGGCCGCCCCAGGCCCGCTGACAGGGGGGAGTGATAATTGCTGCGGTGCCGGGCGGCATGGAGGCTCCGGGGCTGTCACTGTGGACAGCGAGCGGCACTTTTCCTTTCATAGCCGCTGCTGTCCTGTTCCAGTGTGGGCTCTGCAGGAACAGAGCATCTGACCAGGGACCAGGCTGAGGCTGCACCAACTAAGGAGACAGCAACATGCAGGTAGGTGGGTCTGGGGAGGGCTTAGAAGGGGGCGCAAAAATGCTCTTTCGCCTGTGTAGGCCAAAATCCTTGCACCGGCCCTCCTGAGATTCTGATATCCCCGCGATCCATATCATGACTTGTTTCACACCCAGCAAACGCTTAAAGGAACTCATATTGCTAACTTGTTTTTAATCCTGATCCTTCACTATTAGTGAGTCCCTGATCTGGAAAGAGCATGTGCAAATCAAATGTCATGACACCTGGTATGCAGATCATAGTTCCATGTCAGTGAGCCACCAAGTAGTGAAGGAAGGATGGCGGAAAAAGAAGCTAGCAATGGCAGCTTCCATATTTCTGATTTGACAGGTTAACGTAATCAAAGGTCAAAACAAGTCAGCTGGGTCACTTAGTGTAAGCTCTTTTACCTTTTGTAAGCAAGGAACCCCATCTTTTCTAGTTGGCATGCGGTTTTCTTTCCAATTACCGTATAGAGGTTTTCCACTTGCATAGTTTTATTTAAAATCCCTAAGTTGCACACTCGCACTTTTCTCTCCCTGCGTACCTCTGTAACACAGCACGGCATGTAGACCGTTCCGAAGGAATGCATTTGAAGCCTATTGGCAGCTTTTACAAATTGAATCTTGTAAAGCAGCAAAGGACACACCATATGAGAAGTTCACAGCATAGTGAAAAATCGGGTTTAGAGTGTAGTTTTCTTGTATTTGAGACTTTTAAGTTGTATTATGCATTGAGGCCTGAAGTGAGTGAGTCACTCCTGTTGTCACTGAAGCATAATAATGAGGACCTGTCTAATAACAATGTATATAGTGCTTGTACATGGATACTGACAGGCAAATGATAAACCCTGAAGAATAATGATAGGGTTTCACACAGAGAGAGACCCCCTCTAATCTTGCTCTTCACTGACGCATTGTATTTGCCAGATCCCTGACTAACAATGGGAAATCTGTTTTACTGAGGCCTGCAAAGTGTGTGAAAGCCATATTGTGAGGAAGGAATTGCAGCCTATACTTTATTAGGAGCAAGCGGCATGTAAGGCCTTGTGTTGATAGGGTGCAAGTGACTGACCAAATTTTTTTTTTTTTAAGTATATGTTTAGCCAAATATTTTTTTATGATTTGACTAAGTGGAAAAGAGTTTCAGTTTCTGTTGGGTTTATACTGCTATCTGGAGCTCTGTCAGAGAGATTTCCCCCCATGTACCAAGACAGGCTGTAGTCTTTCTCCACTATTTCTGTCTGTTTCTGTTGCAGAGCTTCTCTGACTTCCTGTCTAGTAAAACTGAGATAACTGTGATGGTAAGTGAGGGGAAATGTTGCCAACGGAGCCCTGGACTTCCGTAAAAACCCAACTTTATCAAAAACTTAAATTAACAAAAAAACATTTTGGCTAGACACTTTACACACAAACTTTGACCGGTGACGGGGCAAGGTGTGAATGGCAACTTTGCCAGGAGGACCCCGCATTAAACATGGGATCGTTCACATAGTACAGCTTGCATCGTAGACTAAGGTTGGGTTAGAATTGACTGCAGACAATTCTCTTCATGCTCTGTTATGCCTGTTCACACTCATGCTGGGAAACCTGCAGTAACCAGGAACAAGTACTTAGATAAGCCTTCAGATTCTGGTGCCACTCACAACTAAAAGTGCATATAAGCTAAGATATCATGTTGATTATGATTTTTATCTTATACTGAGATTTCTTTAACATGTCCCTGTCGTTCAGGTCAAAGGGCAGCACAGTGGTTTAGAGATTAGCATTTCTGCCCTGCAGCACTGGGGATCCCTGGTTTGAAGTCCAGCCAGGATTCTATCTGCAAGGAGTTAGCATGTTCTCCCTGTGCTTGCCTGGGTTTCCTCCTACACTCCAAACACAAGCTGGAAGGTTAATAGGCTCCAGTCTAAACTGGCCCTAATGTGTATGTGTGATAGGGACTTTAGACTGTAAGCTCCTTGATGTGAATGTACAGTTTGTAAAGAGCTGCGTAAACGGTTGGCGCTATATAAATACTTGTAATAACAATAAAGTTCTTTTTCTAGCCTTCTCCTCCTCTGCTACTAATACTAAAAGTGACATTGAACTCAGGAGTTAAATCTTAAAAATGCATTCAAGTCACATACTAATCACAAAAATGTATCTTATTTGTGTATCACTCAAATCATCTCTGAATTTATACTGAATGCATTTGTAAGATTTAACTCCTGAGTTTAGTGTCCCTTTAACAAAAATGTATCTTATTTGTGTATCACTCAGCTGTAGATCCTCAATCATCTGTCCTTCCTTCTGGAGGGTGGCTACTTTTCTTCCCCATGGTCCCTGTGTGTCTTGTAAAGTAGACCCCGCTTCAAGATCAATACAAATTTGTAAACCTAAACATGAGATTGTAGTCCATCCCAGGAGAGAGTTTAGAGCGGCTACTTTACAACACACACAGGGACCATGGGGAACAAAAGTAGCCACCCTCCGAAGGAAGGACAGTGTCAGCGCCAATTTAGAGATGATTTGAGGATCTACAGCTGAGTGATATAGTGGAGTTTACACGGGCTAAAGACATTCCCATCACTCCCGCATGACAGTGTTTGGGCCCTGTTGTTCAAGCGTTATGCACTGTATTGTGGGAGGTCACATACTATCCCACACCCAGAAGTATTGGGCATGTCACAGGGCTCCAGCTGGTGAAAGGGGGTGGTGGGATTTTGTGGAGAAGGTGGTCTATAAAAAGAACCTGTTACTTCCTCCTGAACTGGACAAAGTGACGGGTACAGTTTATCATGATGCATGTATTTGACTATTTATGCAAGTGCAAGATGGTCCACTTACCTGACATTTCATCAGCATATTGAAGAACTCATCCCCTGGCTCTTGCTGGTCACCCTCCACCTTTAGATGACCCATGTTATTCTGCGTTAGCCGTAGACCTGGCAAGTTCCCTATGCTCGCTCGCTGGTCATCCAGCCGTCTGCTCTGCGAGCTGGCTATCAGGTCAAAGAATTCTTCTGTCTGAGGTGATGCCATCAGTGAAGAGGTAGCTGGGAACATAAAAATGTAGAAGTCATTGGGGGTCATGTGACTGCATACTGCCATCAATTCTACTTTTTCCCACTATAGGGAATCTCTAGTTTTTAAGGGAAACCTTTCCTGAGAGACACGAAGGCTGCTAATGTGAGGTTCCTGCCTGTGGTGTCCTTTACCTAGAATTAGCATGCAAATAATGATGTCTGACTTGACAGATATACCTACTGGTTCCAGGTCAGTGACTCAAACCTTCTGGGGTCCTGCCAGTCAGTATACAGTAATACCTTGGTTTACAAGTAACTTGGTTTGAGAGCGTTTTGCAAGACAAGCAAACATTTCTGAAAAATGTTGCCTTGATATACAAGCAATGTCTTGCACTAAGAGCAAAATGTTGTAGAAAAGCACCCGAATAAGGCTGTAGCTGTGTGAGCGATGAGTCTGTTTAACGACAACACAATGTCACATTGGATAGATTCCTTGTTAAGGTTTCACGAAATGAAAAAGATTCCATTGAGTCAAGAGATAGCAGTGATTCCGTTAGTGATAATGAAAGTTGTCCTGCACAATAATCCTTCTCTCTCTCGTCCCCCTCACACCAACCACAAAGGTACCGGTAATTGGTTTATTTGTCTTTATATTTTGTACGGTATTATCTTACAGTACAGTATTGTAATCATTTGTATATGAATATTTTTGGGTTGTGGAACGAATCATCTGAATTTCCATTATTTCCTATGGGGAAGTTCGCTTTGATATACAAGCGCTTTGGATTACAAGCATGCTTCCGGAACTAATTATGCTCGTAAACCAAGGTATTACTGTACTAGCCAAACAGAAGCAGGCTGGTAATGGACATAGTGGCTCCCATGTGTCTCTCAGGAAAGGTGAAGGAGTATCCATAGCCAACATCTTTCTTTTTTTAAAGTTTTGATTAGAGAAAGGGTTAGAATCAGTGCCAGGTTTTGTTTTTTACGGTCTGTGTACCATTAAGAAAATTCCCCACCAATCCCTGTCCAAACCCATTCTAATTATTTTTTAATTATTAGATACACCAGCACTAAGAGAGAAACAGCACAATCACTGTGTACCTCTGCTAAGCAGGAAACTGGCTTTGTAATGGGCAAATATGGCTGCCCCAATATACATATATCATTACATCCTATACACAGATACACGGATGTGAAAACCTTAACACACATGGATGCGATTGTATTCAATTCATCTGCTTCACACTATAAATTCCTGGGGTTGTAAAGGGAAAGTTGGGTTAGAATTCAATTTTTTTTCTTCCTTAGCACAAAGGAAACACAGATGGTCATTTCAGGGTTAAGTTGTGTTTACTGGAAACAGCTGCGATTATCTAGTTCTGCTGCTGGAAGAAAAACAGGGACAGGATGATGATGAGATTATTCATATGGCGGTGGTGTGTGTTGACGCTACAGGCAAGTCCCATTTGGCCGCATCTCTCTTTTTGCGCTGCTCAGTCCCGGTGTCCAGGGTCCTGATACTCTCATCGCCTGTTCCATCACAGCTGATAACACGGAGTGGGGAAGGCCAGAGGCATATCTGTGTCTCCGCTCTACACTGATGACTAGCTGGCCAGACAGTGAGGACAAGTGACATCTACTGCGGGTGTCATCATATCCCCTGAAACCGCTGTCAATGTGTGACTGGAGAAGTAGTTTTGTCTAATCCAGTATCTTTGACAGAAGAACTTGGCTAAGCGATAGTTGTGTGTAAAATGGTCACATAGTAGCAGTCTAGTTGTAGAATGATCACATCATTGGTGCCATTTATCTCCTGTGTATGGCCACTTGTTTTATCCATCATGTAAAAGCAGGTTCTCTGGCAGCCACCTTGGTGAATGGGCCTTTTGCTCATGTTTGGTTTTATGTTATATCCTGACGGTTATATCCTCTCTAATGCATTTCTCATCGTGCTGATTGACATTTCAGCAGTAAAAAGGGCAAATATATCAATGGGGTTTTCTCTGGGCATGTTGATGCCATCAAAATATGGATATTTTCATGTTGTGAGTGTAGTAGGGAATGTTTAGAAGCTGTGTCAGGTTTTATGGCTGATCGTATTCCCCTCAATGGCACAGGAAGTCAGAACAAGTCTCTCCAACCCTGCAATAAAAACCTAACAGAGATTCTAACCCACTCTAGTCAAACTCTTGTAGCTGGAGGTTTACTTTTAGGTACCAGGGTCATCACTCGATTTAACATTTTGGCTGGATGTTTATGTGGCGTCATTGTGGCATCAATGATGTATGCCACACACGTGAACTAGCTACTGTCTACATGCATTGACGTGTTAAAACTAGAGGTGCACCGAAATGGAAATTTCAAAACGATAACAAAACCGAAATAAAGAAAATGTTGTTGTTTTTTTTTTACATTTTTTCACATTTTTACAAATATTTTATTTCTATTTCTTTTTTATAAACTTTTAATTTTTTTAATATTTTTATTCATTTTTTATAAAATATTTGTATTTTTTACTTTACCTTTTGGGGGCTCTGGGGAAATATTGGGGGTCTAAACAGACCCCTGGTATTTACCTTTTAAAGTAGAAAAAGAGATTGAGAACACAGAGTCCTCAATCTCTTTTTACGTCTGTATCCGACACAGATGCAGACCGTGGAGCTGCTCCCGTAAGTCAGGTACGCGGTCTGCGACCGTGTGCCTGACATGTCAGCTGGCTGCGGGCCACACAGTACTGGCTTGTGGGCCATATTTGGACCGCGGACCGGTACTTGGAGACCCAAATTTCCACTCGCCCTCACCTTATTTTTACTCGCCAAATGTGAGCAGGTGAGTGGAAATTTTGAGCCCTGCTCTATACTGAGTGTTCCTGTTCACTGATAACATGAGGACAGAGTGTGTTTACTATAACCACAATTATGAATGAACAGGAGGTGATGTAGATCACTTTCCATTCATTCATAATTGGGGATATAGTAACCATACCATGTCCTCAATTATCTACAAACAGTGAGTGAGCGGTGCGAGAGGAGAGCCTCAACACCCCCAGAGTGGTGTTGTCTCCGCCAACACCACTCTGCTGGACTGTGATAGGAGGCCGAGCGGGGTGGGAAGAGAGACGCCGGCCGCTCGCAGCGCTCGGCTGTCACACTTTCTTTCCTCCCCGCTGGGACACAGAGCAGCACCCAGCGGGGAGGAAAGAAATCACGGATGCGCCGATGTATCGGCAGAAAAATGGTACTTTCGGCAGTTAACCAAAAGTGCCATTTTCGTCCGATATGTTTCAGCGCCCGATATATCGGTGCATCCCTAGTTAGAACATATATCTGTGAATAGAGAGTCACTAGACAAGAGGTGACCATTTCTCATGAAGGCAGCTGGCTTTTCCTTTATATAAACAAGGATTAAAGGAAACCTGTCCTGAGACAAGTACATACGCTGACCCTTCCTGCTGAAAATGTTAGTCGCCTGGCTGTTACACTGACTTTTCAGAATTCAGTACTTTGACTTTCTATACTCCGCAGGATGTAGATCAGCAGGAGTGATGTCGCTTGTTTGTCCCAGGCCAGTGACAGCCAGGCAGTTTGGATTTTCAGATGTGATCAGCAGATGCAGCCTGTATGCCCCCCTTATTCCTTTGTCATATCCACACAATTTAATAAAGACTCTGGGGGGAATTTATCAAAACTGGAGCAGAGAGAATCTGGAGCAGTTGCCCATGGGAACCAATCAGCTTCTCTCCTCCATTTGTTCAGTTAAGATTTGAAAATGAAAGAGAGAAGCTAAATGGTTGCCGTGCACAGCTGCTGCAGATTTGCCCTCACTTTCTCTAAGCTGCAGTGAGGTCATCGCCCTGAATGGCGTTCTAGTGAAAAATGTGCACTCACATATCCGGTCCTCCAGTGCTGGCACGGGTGTCGCTGTGGTCTCCGTCCCTGCGCTCTGGTTCTCCTCTAATGTACATCTTTGATCATCCATCCGGTTACTCTGAAATTTACTCAGGAGGTCAAAGAAACATTCCTCGTCCGATGGCGCCCGATTGATTTTCTGCAAGACAGTTCGGGGAAGATAATTTAATACGGATTTCCCTGCCTCTCCTGGGCCTTGTGTGCTGCACAAATCAATGCTGGATGATTCCCCCTTTTACAGGCACTATTGATTCATGACAGCGTTCGCTATGACAACGCTGCTGCAGTGCTTCTGCTAGAAGGGGCTCTGGGCTGTCATGTGTCATTAAACACGAGGGTGACAAACATTATAGCAATATATATATACACTGAAATACACCCATGCTTCTTTTATCTGTCATCCATGCATTTACTTGTGTGATAATTATAGGCTTGCCAGGAAATTCTAGGAATGTGAACATGCAGATTGAGGAACGATCTATAAAGTGATCAAACCACAAATGGTGCTGTGCAATATAGGACATTCTTCACATCCTGCAGAGTCTGTGTCACTGCCCCACCTACTGACAATGAATGTCACCACCCTGAGCTCTACTCTCTTCCGTTTACAAGCAGCAACTCCAAACGCATGCCTGATTTGAACTTTCAGCTATTATGTAACAACTTAGTATAAACACATGTGAACTGGAAAATTATTTGACAATGTTTGGTAGAATAAATGAAAGTGATATTAGGGATCTTGTTTTATATAGTCAAAGCTGAGTTCTTTACGTTTATGAGGGTTTCTTAGCCCCCTATGTGATAGCAATAAAGTTAAGTGGAAAGTAATAACAAAATTAAAGCATAAAAAAAACACAATTTTTTAAAAGTCCCCCCATATACACATGCAAACATGTGTCGGGTGCACCTACATGCCAAAACGACTATTGTGCAGCACATGTTACATATAACCGCGAACGTCACATTGAGGGCAATCATTTTAGGGCCATTAATTACTGATAACACTAAACTGATGAACGGTAAAAGCATCGCTTAGGGCCAATTTTGGGTATGGTAGTTTTCTGCAATTTTGCAGGCGCACGCAATTTTAAGGCTTGGCATGTTTGGTGTCTATTTACCCGACGTGACCCCGTCTTTTATATTTTACCAAAAATTTGGTGTGATAATAAATGTTTCCTAACATTTCATAGGGAAACAGGATTGTTTTTCAAAATTTAGGGTACTTTTTTGTTATATAGTAAAAAAATAACCCCCCCCCCCAGTGGTGATTAAATACCACCAAAAGAAAGCTCTATCTGTCCATAGAAATTATATAAAATTTATTTCAGTACAGCGTTGCATTACGGAATAAATATCAAAGTACTGCAGCGCTGAACACTGAAAAATGGCCTGGCCAGGAAGGAGGTTTAACACCCTGGTCAGCAAGTGGTTAATTTATGTGTTTGCAGTATCCAAAAAACTGTGGGGAATTTATCAAGACTGGAGCAGACAAAATCTGGAGCAGCTGTGTACGGCAACCAACCAGCATCCACTTTTCATTTTCAAATCTTAACTGAACAAACTGAAGATAGAAGGTGATTGGTTGCCATGCACAGCTGCTCCAGATTTTGTCTGCTCCAGTTTTGATAAATTTCCCTCACTGTGTGTTGACAAGTCCGGAACGTTTATTTCATTTTGCATGTAACACAGAAAATCCACCACTGAGCTGTAAATTGAGCTTGTTGGAGGATTTCCAAACAGTGTCAGCAAAACCACTTGTTAAACAATATTCAACGTTACCAATCATGTTCATCTTTAAAGGGAACCTTTCAAAATCACAATTTGGAATGCGCATGCTCTGAGGCTGTCATGTCTGTCCTCCTTTCTCTATATACATTGGATCCTCTTTGCAGGCTCAGTATTGGGGGAGTTTGTTTTAGGCCATTGTAGTGAATTTTCAATGTGATACGTCGGTGACTACTGGTGTGCTCTTTTCTTCCACAATTCAGGATCACTGTATTGGGTTGTTCCTGAGATTTCTGGCATCTTTAACTTCCTGTTTATGCTGTCTGGTGACACATAAGATGAAATATACACTGACAGCTAGATGTCTGTACTCGGATCATCCTGAACACACACACACCTTCTTTAGCGCTTAGAAAAAAAAGACAGTAATATGTGGAAGCCTTCAGTGTCCAGTTGAGTGAAACATGAAAGGACTGGTTTTGTTGGTAGTTCACGGGTATAGACTTAGGTTTTAGGTATGTATATTTTGGGTAACTTCAAACAGAACATGTTGAATCCAAAATACAAAAAAAAAACTTGGACTTGGGTTAAAAAGCAGCGCAAAGTGCAGTAACTAATAACCACACCGGAATGACATTTCACTGATCTGACTCCAGCAAAGAGACTTCCAGTTACTGTGCATTGAACATGTCTCCTGAGATTTGATGAGATTAGAGCAGGGATGGCCAAACTCTGGCCCTCCAGCTGTGGTGAAACTACAAATCCCATGAAGCATCTCTCTCCGGGAGCCATGTCTGTGGCTGTGAGAATCTTGCAAAGCCTCATGGGATTCGTAGTTCCACCACAGCTGGAGGGCTGCAGTTTGACCATCCCTGGATTAGACGAACCAAGTCCTCTTTTCTCTACTATCTAAACAGGAATACTTGTAAGACTCGACTGTCCCTACATGTTCTTTGCATGTTCAGCTATGTTACCACAGGGTCAGACCTCCTGACTGCACAGTTCCTACGAAGGACAATCATGACACTGATCGGGACTCGCAAAAGGGATCAAGGATCAGGAAGGTGGCGAGCCAACGCTTCTATTATCAGACATCCCCCATACAAGGCTGGCATGAGTCGGTAAGTGCTGATAATGTCACAGAAAATGAAGCCATTGAGGGCACAGCAGGAGGGAATAGGATAGTGGCCGGAAGTGAGTAGAGTATGGCCAGTTGTTCCCTGGGATAACCTAAAGGAACCTGACATTCATTGCTGTTATGTCTAAGCATGCCCAGTTTTGCACTCTTCAGTCTTTATCTGCCACTGGACACCCTGGTGTGTACCAAATACAAGAGCAGCCTACTATTGCAAGGGCATTGCAGCTCACATTCTGTTGGTTATGTGTTTGGATAAAGCATGGAGATCTTGAAGAATGCTGAATTAAGTTTTACGTGCTTAGAAGGACATTACATGTGAATTCAGCATTATACAGCATACAGGGAGAACGTCCTGTGTATATTATAGATAAGCATGAACATAAAGACTAGCATTGCATTACAGCGCCATGTACAGCTCAAAAGACATAATATATGCGGTTGTATTTGCAACTTTATACCTTTATATGTAAGGAAAATGGATTAGAACAGAGATATCAGATAAATGACACACCAGAGACATGGTTCTGCAGCCTTGGTTCCATCTCTGGTGACCTGTCTGCTTCTGCCATTTTCATCTATTCTCTCCAGCCACATCTGCTATAATGGTCTCTGTTCACAGGCCAGTAACTAGTATGTCTGTATGGGTTTGGTAGTTAGCAGCTGTAAAAGCTCTCAATAAGCACAGAGGTCCCGAAATGACGATAATATCTGGAGTACTAGGCTCAAGTTCACTGCGCATGACATAAAAGCCTGACATCTGCAAGAACTGGGGAAGGCATGGAGTGATCCACTTCTCTACTTGGTATAGTAGAATCTCCATTCAACTATAAAAGTCTGCACTATTATTGTGCAAATGGTCGTGGTCCCAAACCATGGACATTTACTAAGAAACCTGTCCTCAGAACCTGCCAGTGATCCTGGAAATTGTGGTGACAATTCTGGACTGGAAGAGCCAGAGCAGTAAAAATGTCCCATGTGTTTCAGGTCTTCACTGCCTTTTATCCAGGACGCAGGACGCATCGTTCACTAATATGGAGCACAGGAACTTGCTGCCAGGTGACCCCTATTCTACACTTCATAAATATGGATTTCTCCTACTAAAGCCACTCAATCTGCTCTCTAGGCCCCTCTAACTTGGCCAAACAAAATATCGTCTGTGTGTAGCAAAATATGGGCTATTTGTTCCATTACTTTCATCTGCGAGATCTGAAAAGGCAAATGAGATATACTTGTTTAGTACGACTGTCAGGTAGAATACAAACTCTTCATTGGACTGACTGGATAAATTGGCTACTAGGGATACACAGGTAATGTTGTGTGATGTGCCAGCAACAAGGGGCTCCTCTTTAGAATAATGTTATACACACGATGAGGCTGAGATTCACAGGGGAATGTATTGGTGAATAAACTCCTTCCTGTCATATAGAATCCAGGAAAACATCTAATATTTGATATATTACAGGCTCTGTGATACAATGACACACTGACACTTGGGGGTCCTAGAGCAAGGACACTCAGGCTAGATTCACACTATTGCAGTCTGCTAGCCTGCCTTGTGCATTGCTTTACGGCAGCCTATCTGAATGGGCTAACGCACCCAAAAAAATTTCCTGCACTATATTTGTAACAAAGTGCACCACAACACACAGCAGTAGTAGTAAGTTACAATACATTGGGGGGAATTTATCAAAACTAGGGATGTCCCGATACCGATGCTAGCATCGGAATCGGGCCCGATACAGGGCATTTTGACAAGTACTTGTACTTGTCAAAATGCCCCGAAGCCTAGCGCCGAAGCTTGCGCTATGTTTTTTTTTTTTTTCTTCTTCATATATGTACTGTACATATACAGCACAAATGTCCCGTACATTGCAGCAATAGATTTACAATAATCCCCTGCTAACATGAATGGGTTAAATGATCCGTATTACAACTACATGTTATGTACTATGGATCATGATTTAACCTATTCATGTTAGCAGGGTGAAAATTGTAACTATTACTGCAGTGTAGTGGACGTGTGTTAGGATCCAGAGCGCCTCCAGGTGGCGCTGGAGCTGAGCCCTGCAGTTCCTGGGCTCACCTGCAGGATTCTCCAGGCAGCCAGGGACAATTGCGAGTGTTTGAACTCGCACGGAATACATTTTTGATGCTAGTGTAATGTTGTTCATAAATGAGGTTAAATAGACTCCAGGAAAGAAGACTCGCAACTCCAGGCAAAAAGCTTCACTGTCGCTTCTTGAAGTGGTCACAAAGGACTTCTGAAGTTGCGATTGTTTTGTTAAGTGATGCTCCGGGTTCAGATAGCAGCAGGGCAAGTGCAGATGAAAACGGTTGTGAACTTTCGCAAAACAGGCGCAAAACACACGCATTTGGAAAAATAGTGCACGCTCAGGTCAAAACAGGCGCAGAGTTGCACAAAAGACAGAGTTGCACATTAAAAAAAAATTATCTAAGAGGCTAAAACTGTCACAATTGCTTTGACAAATTCCACCCATTGTGTTGTGCTGCAACGCAGGTGTGCTGGCGTGCTATTACCTATGAATGGCAATGCAGTGTACTAGCACACATTACCCAGAGCAATGACATACTGACACTTATGGGTCCCGATACAATGTTACAATGACACTTGGAGGTCCCAGAGCAATGACACATTGATACTTGGAGGTCCAGGAGCAATGTTACAATGACAATTGGAGGTCCAGGAGCAATGTACAATGACAATTGGAGGTCCCAGAACAATGACATTGACACTTGGGGGTCCCAGAGCAATGATACATTGACACTTGGGGGTTCCCGGAGCAATGATACATTGACACTTGGGGGTCCTAGAGCAATGATACATTGACACTTGCAGGCATCCCAACCTGAAAAAAAGAATCATCTGCCATCATTTCCCTGAAATGATGGCAGATAATAGAGGAGCTAATGCTTCCCTTGCTATCTGCTGGGTTTTTGTTTTTTTTTGTATTCTGACAGTGGCTGCGGTCATAATAAAAAGAAAAAACAGATAGCATGGAAATAATTAGCTAGGCTGCTATTGGCTATTTCATATTGCAATAGCTGGCTGGCTATTGCACCTGCCCACTGCTGCTGTCAATCAGCAGAAGAGGACCTGAAAGAGCTTTTGGCATGAGAAATCACAAAAAGAGAAAGTCATCTCATGCCATAAAAAACAGCAGCACTATATAGAATTTGCGCTGTTCAGAAGCAGTTAATTCACAGGAGGTCGGAGGCATACAGCCAACGCCCAATCTTTCCCTTACAATCCCTAGTTCTAGGCTGCCAAAGAAACCCATCAATGCAGAATGCAGCACTTCACATTTTTCCATTAAACACGGTGATAAAAAAAAACTGTAAATGTAATATCTCACGTCTTCTCTTTCATAATTACAGCACTTCAGTCGTGAAAAATATGTGTCAGGAATTTAAACTGTTTGTAGAAGAAGGTGCCAAATAATAAATATCCTTCAGCAGAATAGAAAGTTTTCTGTTAGAAGAGTGGTATTTGTTTGCGGAGGCCTGATGGTGGTAATACAGTGCAGGAGATTCAATCCAAGTTCTTATTGTAAAGTGCACCTACATGTCATTTTGTTAATGATTTTCACATGCGAGTTCCATATACATCAGGGGTGGGGAATGTCCGGTCAAATGGGCCGCAAAATCATTTGGTCTGGCCGTCTGAGCAGTCCCGGATCCAGGTGGGGGGTGGGGTCAGTGCACACAGAGATGATGGGACGGGAGAGAGGTGGCAGGGGAACAGCCAGTGAGGGGGGTCAGTGCACACAGAGATGATGGGACGGGAGAGAGGTGGCAGGGGAACAGCCAGTGAGGGGGGTCAGTGCACACAGAGATGATGGGACGGGAGAGAGGTGGCAGGGGAACAGCCAGTGAGGGGGGTCAGTGCACACAGAGATGATGGGACGGGAGAGAGGTGGCAGGGGAACAGCCAGTGAGGGGGGTCAGTGCACACAGAGATGATGGGACGGGAGAGAGGTGGCAGGGGAACAGCCAGTGAGGGGGGTCAGTGCACACAGAGATGATGGGACGGGAGAGAGGTGGCAGGGGAACAGCCAGTGAGGGGGGTCAGTGCACACAGAGATGATGGGACGGGAGAGAGGTGGCAGGGGAACAGCCAGTGAGGGGGGTCAGTGCACACAGAGATGATGGGACGGGAGAGAGGTGGCAGGGGAACAGCCAGTGAGGGGGGTCAGTGCACACAGAGATGATGGGACGGGAGAGAGGTGGCAGGGGAACAGCCAGTGAGGGGGGTCAGTGCACACAGAGATGATGGGACGGGAGAGAGGTGGCAGGGGAACAGCCAGTGAGGGGGGTCAGTGCACACAGAGATGATGGGACGGGAGAGAGGTGGCAGGGGAACAGCCAGTGAGGGGGGTCAGTGCACACAGAGATGATGGGACGGGAGAGAGGTGGCAGGGGAACAGCCAGTGAGGGGGGTCAGTGCACACAGAGATGATGGGACGGGAGAGAGGTGGCAGGGGAACAGCCAGTGAGGGGGGTCAGTGCACACAGAGATGATGGGACGGGAGAGAGGTGGCAGGGGAACAGCCAGTGAGGGGGGTCAGTGCACACAGAGATGATGGGACGGGAGAGAGGTGGCAGGGGAACAGCCAGTGAGGGGGGTCAGTGCACACAGAGATGATGGGACGGGAGAGAGGTGGCAGGGGAACAGCCAGTGAGGGGGGTCAGTGCACACAGAGATGATGGGACGGGAGAGAGGTGGCAGGGGAACAGCCAGTGAGGGGGGTCAGTGCACACAGAGATGATGGGACGGGAGAGAGGTGGCAGGGGAACAGCCAGTGAGGGGGGTCAGTGCACACAGAGATGATGGGACGGGAGAGAGGTGGCAGGGGAACAGCCAGTGAGGGGGGTCAGTGCACACAGAGATGATGGGACGGGAGAGAGGTGGCAGGGGAACAGCCAGTGAGGGGGGTCAGTGCACACAGAGATGATGGGACGGGAGAGAGGTGGCAGGGGAACAGCCAGTGAGGGGGGTCAGTGCACACAGAGATGATGGGACGGGAGAGAGGTGGCAGGGGAACAGCCAGTGAGGGGGGTCAGTGCACACAGAGATGATGGGACGGGAGAGAGGTGGCAGGGGAACAGCCAGTGAGGGGGGTCAGTGCACACAGAGATGATGGGACGGGAGAGAGGTGGCAGGGGAACAGCCAGTGAGGGGGGTCAGTGCACACAGAGATGATGGGACGGGAGAGAGGTGGCAGGGGAACAGCCAGTGAGGGGGGTCAGTGCACACAGAGATGATGGGACGGGAGAGAGGTGGCAGGGGAACAGCCAGTGAGGGGGGTCAGTGCACACAGAGATGATGGGACGGGAGAGAGGTGGCAGGGGAACAGCCAGTGAGGGGGGTCAGTGCACACAGAGATGATGGGACGGGAGAGAGGTGGCAGGGGAACAGCCAGTGAGGGGGGTCAGTGCACACAGAGATGATGGGACGGGAGAGAGGTGGCAGGGGAACAGCCAGTGAGGGGGGTCAGTGCACACAGAGATGATGGGACGGGAGAGAGGTGGCAGGGGAACAGCCAGTGAGGGGGGTCAGTGCACACAGAGATGATGGGACGGGAGAGAGGTGGCAGGGGAACAGCCAGTGAGGGGGGTCAGTGCACACAGAGATGATGGGACGGGAGAGAGGTGGCAGGGGAACAGCCAGTGAGGGGGGTCAGTGCACACAGAGATGATGGGACGGGAGAGAGGTGGCAGGGGAACAGCCAGTGAGGGGGGTCAGTGCACACAGAGATGATGGGACGGGAGAGAGGTGGCAGGGGAACAGCCAGTGAGGGGGGTCAGTGCACACAGAGATGATGGGACGGGAGAGAGGTGGCAGGGGAACAGCCAGTGAGGGGGGTCAGTGCACACAGAGATGATGGGACGGGAGAGAGGTGGCAGGGGAACAGCCAGTGAGGGGGGTCAGTGCACACAGAGATGATGGGACGGGAGAGAGGTGGCAGGGGAACAGCCAGTGAGGGGGGTCAGTGCACACAGAGATGATGGGACGGGAGAGAGGTGGCAGGGGAACAGCCAGTGAGGGGGGTCAGTGCACACAGAGATGATGGGACGGGAGAGAGGTGGCAGGGGAACAGCCAGTGAGGGGGGTCAGTGCACACAGAGATGATGGGACGGGAGAGAGGTGGCAGGGGAACAGCCAGTGAGGGGGGTCAGTGCACACAGAGATGATGGGACGGGAGAGAGGTGGCAGGGGATAGAGCTAGAAAGGGGGGGTCAGTGCACACAGAGATGATGGGACGTGAGAGAGGTGGCAGGGGATAGAGCCAGAGGCGGTCAGTGCACACAGAGATGATGGGACGGGAGAGAGGTGGCAGGGGATAGAGCTAGAGAGGGGGGGTCAGTGCACACAGAGATGATGGGACGGGAGAGAGGTGGCAGGGGATAGAGCTAGAAAGGGGGGGGTCAGGGCACACAGAGATGATGGGACAGGGGAGAGGTGGCAGGGGTAGAGTCACAGAAGGAGGTCAGTGCACACAGAGATGATGGGACAGGAGAGAGGTGGCAGGGGATAGAGCCAGAGAGGGGGGTCAGTGCACACAGAGATGATGGGACAGGAGAGAGGTGGCAGGGGATAGAGCCAGAGAGGGGGGTCAGTGCACACAGAGATGATGGGACAGGAGAGAGGTGGCAGGGGATAGAGCCAGAGAGGGGGGTCAGTGCACACAGAGATGATGGGACAGGAGAGAGGTGGCAGGTGCTCCAGACTGACCAAGGCAAACTTGGAAAAGCAGTTGCGAGTAGCAACATGATCAATACCAGCTAACATCACACACCTCACCAAAGAGAAACCCTTCCAGCCATCACATTAGGGGTGATAATTGTGGACGACAACATTTTCCATCGTCGATTTTAATCGACTTATTTGAATAATTGTTGCATCTCTACCCGCGAATGATGTTATA